ATTGATAATTCAGCGAAGTCCTTCCACTCGACCACTTGCTAGTGATCATTGTTTCAACATGAAGGTAAATGAGAACCTTGAATAAGACCTTATAAATTAACAACAAGCAGAGTATCACCACACATCATAGTAAGACCACACACATGAGATCAAAATATGAAATCTAAGACAGAATTTGACACTATAAAATAATTTTAGATTTAACATATTAATTATATTTTTTATTTATTTTATTTTTCTCGGTCCTTCAAGAATTCTATGATTAAAAGTCCATAGTTATATTATTAAATGACTTAATATTTATAAATTTATTTGTGCGGTAAAATTCTAGAATAATTTTGTTTACGTACATACTATATTTTTAATAATAATGTTATATTTATCTTTACTATATTTCTAAATATATGAATATTATTAATTTATATTTTGGTATAAATTATATATTCTACTATTTCATATATTTGTCGTAATAGTATAACAGTACTTTTACTGGTAATAATTTTCATAATTATTGATTTTAAATATAAATAAATAAATAGTTTATTATTAATATTCCTGTTAATTTGATAATTATATTATTATTTCTCACTTCGTATCAGTGGGTATATAACAACTGATTTTAGAGTTCATAATAGTTTAATTTTAATACTCGTAATATTATTTTAAATATTTTCAAAACCTAACCCTATAGATTAATAATTTCTTTTCTTTTCCTTTCTTCCCTCTCCTCCTCTCTATCCCCCCCTCCTCCTCCTCCTCTCTCGCTCTCGAACGTTGTCCCCTCAATCTACTTCCTCCCACCGTCGACATGCTACACTCCTCCCACCGAGATACTCCACGTCAAGCCAGATTTTCGCGGAAAACGTTGGTGTTTTTCTCATTAATCGATGTCATTGCAGCTCATTTACAACTTTTGGTACAAGAGACCGGCTTTATAAATCCGCTTATGATAAAATCAAAATAAAAAACAAAGAATCTAAAACTACAACTTTCTCCTTACGAAACAAACACAAGATCACTATCGGTCTTTGCTCGTTGTTGTTTCTGCGCGGTTCTTACCGCGTGACCACCGCGTGATCTGGACCAAGCAGATACACGACTTTAACGGTATGACCACAAGGAATAAAGCCGGAGATCGTTTACACCAAGGAAACTACCGCTCGAACTTCGATCTAATACATCAAACTTAGATGCCGAGTGTAAGACGTATATCCGGATTAGACTCTCTCAACTCCTGCCTTTTTCGTGCGGGTTCTCGCTACACACACAGAATCACAATCCGTTCTCCAATCTTCACAGCCTTCAAATCTCGAGTTTAGGTGACAAATCCGGCCAGAGTTCGGCTCCTCTCAAAAGTTCAGCACGAATTCTAAATGAAACCACCCCCTATTTAACCTGCCTGAACTGTCTTGTTGCACAAAAGAGAGGGGGGGGGAGACGCAACCTGAGGGTGCGCTCATGCCGAGCCACCCTGAGTGGCTTCGTCTTGGGCGAGACACCCAGTGTGGCTCGCCACTGAGACTCACCCTGGGGTGGCCGCTTGAGCCGAGCCACCCGGTTGGTTTTTTAGCCGATTTCCCCGTGTGTTCCGTTTCCCGTTTCCGTGTTTCCGTCTTTCGTCTTCTTTGATTCATCAGGACTTTGAATTTGATAGCCCGGTCCTATTTTGCTAGTATTTCCGCCTCGTTGAACAAATCTATTTTGTCGTTGACGACTCGTTGACTTCCGGGAATGTTGGATTGTTCCACAGCGAACATAGCCGTGTTTGTGGTCTTAATAGCTACGTCCGCTCGACAATGCCGTAATGTTCGAAACCAGCATACTAACATGCTAAGGACCTATAGTTAATTATATACCATTGTTTTGTACTACAGATACCCTCCAAAATAGTTCAGCCTCATTTATAGAAGATTCTGTGAATGCTTGAAGATTGTCCCCTACCCTTTTTCATGAACGGACTTGGAAGACTTACGTTCTATTCATTCAATCCCTCAGTTCATTCCAGTGTGTAGAATGCCTGTTATGGTCCGGTCTGCATTATTATCTACCGTTGTTAATTGAACTTTAATCGATTCTCTGATTTTCCAATCTTAACCGTGTTGTTTTGTTCACGTGCACTACGCCGATGTCGTGTTAATACTCACTTGTACCACTATTCCACTCGTGTTAATGATATCCTAAGAATATTCGAAAAAATTCTCCAGAACTTCTCAACAACAATGAAACTATTTTGATACTCGTAACTATGGAGTATTCCTCTCAAAAATAAGCTGATAGCGGCTTGAAAAATGACAAAAAAGCAGTAATTGATCAAAAAATCTTCCGTTCCTTCCGAAGTGTGGAGGACAGAAAACCAAGATGACCTATTTATTTAAGTTCGCTCTCGACGCTTAATTCATCTCTTTTGAAATGATTTGATATGTGCGGTCGTTCAAACTGGCCCTTCGGTTCAACATTGCTCGTGAGAGAACTCATTTCTCATTAGTTTAGTCTCTCAATTATTCTTTGCACTTATATTCTTTATTCAATTTCTCTCATCTCGACGATTGACGAGGAAGCTGATTTGCGGACACTCCTATATCACACATATATAGCTACCTCAGATTGATGACCAGCTACCTGATACAAATGTTTCCTTAGTCGATTGCAACAATCCTAGGAGGTTCTTTAGAGGTATTGCCTCCGCTGAGTTGATTATAGGACTAGTCACCTATGACTAATGCAGCTATAATGTAACGCCTTCTGCGAAATTCCTTTTTGAATTTACAGGAGCTTTTGCGAAAAGACCATAGTTATCCGGCGTGCGATGCAACTCCACCAGTCGATTGCAACACAGTTGTTACATCTCCATCACCCCAGTGGCTCGAGGGAAGAGGTATAATTTTAATAGCTAGCG